CGCTATGCTCTTCTTGATCCTGCTGATGAGCCCTAACGCCACCTGATCCTGAATCTCAGTCACGTGCGCATCAATATCAGCATCAATGCTATCTAAAACACGGACCTGCGTGGTAAACAATTTATTAAGTATCAACTCAATAAAAAATGTTATAATTTAGCTTAGATCTCATACGAATTATCCCAATCCCCAAATATTTTTGTCATCGCCTTCCTCCTAGCATTCCAACACTTGTGATATGATACATCCAAGTTGGTGGCTTTATGCACTAAAAGACGGATATCTTTCGGCCTTAGATCAAGATCCTCCCTCAGATGCGGTAAAATCAATCGATATATAAAAGAAGAGGACGCATTCTTGTTATTCATCTCTAATCGAGGATTGCTACAAGTGTGGAGTCCATTGTATGCCGTGATTTTGAATTGCCCACCTACTCTTGAACCCGAGCGTGAATTAAGCTTCCACGGACACCTCGCATTGCCGTCGTGGTGTCCACTATTATCTTCGACATCGTCATCTTTGCGATAGAAACAAACCACATTATAGCTTGTAGTATTATTTTTGGTTGGCCTGAACTTCACATTTTTTGCAATGGAATACGTGCGAATAGCATGGATCAATTTCTCCTTACTCTCGTAAAGATCTCCCTTGATGAATGAGAAGTCCTCGGCCTGTGTATCAACACCGCTATTAGTGCCAATAGGAACACTTTCCATCGCGGAGTTATCAATCCATTCATCTCCTTGAAGTTCATCGGGCGGCGGATCCTCTAAGCCGACATACTCATTATTAACATAAGCCCCGTCGATGTGTTGGTTTTCCCCGTCATCACGATCTATCAAGGTCATGCTATTAATTTGTAATCCCTCCTCTTCATCATCATTCTCGGATTCAACACTTGCATTATCTTCTTGAATTCCCGTGTTAGTATCGAAAGCATTCGAAGTGCCCACGAACGAAGGACCGCTCATGTATTGTGATTGTGTCCAACATTCATCTTGTTGAGGAGATAAAAAGCCTACAGAATCAACTTCAGGATCCTCCAACATGCGGGAATACATTCCTTCGTAGTTCAACGATTTGCCCAAATCTCTCTGATGTTTTTCAATGAACAATTCGACCGAACGCTTCTCGTCGTGTAAGACATGAATGAGACCCATATCGTAGTCACTTGATATTTGAATGCCACTTGTTCTGTTCTCCACAACAGGATAATTGCAAACTACACTGAGGTGATACTCACGCGAGTTAGTTAATGTAAGTTTGTGTAATTCATTAACCAAATCATCGAAAGTACACGATTTTGTTATGAACAACGGTCTCGTCGTGCCTCCTTCATAAACGGGCATATTATTCTCGAGGTAATTAATCTTCCCATCATAAGAACAGAGAATTACAATTCGATCATTCATCGTTACCTCTGAAGAGTGAAAAATTCAATATCAATATTACACGAAAAGCCAAATAAATATTGATTGTTACTAATTTTTACATTTAGGTAGTAACTCTAATTTCCACATTAATTGATAATTTCACCTCTAAATACGCAAAATTATTTAATACGTCTTCACAAAATTCGTAAATAATTCACAATTAAATTCTAAAATCTAATTTATATCATACATATGCAAAAATCTAAAATCTAATTTTTCTTCACAAAATCTAAATAATTCACAATTAAATTCTAAACTCTAAATACAATAATTTTCGAAATTATTGATAATTTCCCCTCTAATTTCACAAAATTATTGATAAATTACACACTAATTCTTCACAAATTTCACAAGGACAAATTTTCAAAACCAACCCTTTTAGCATTTTATTTGCAAAAAACGACCTATTTTGAAAATAATTACAAAAACCGACCTGTTTTCAGCCCAGCGCTGAAAACAGGTCGGTTTTTGTAAAAAAGTCTCCGAAACATCACGGGAGTTCAACTCCCGTGAAGTTTATCGAGAAATTAAACTTCACGGGAGTTGAACTCCCGTGAAGCTTAATTTTGCTTAAAACTCCACGGGAGTTCAACTCCCGTGGAGTTTCAGTCGAAAATTTCCAGAGAGTGGATCTTCGGGAATTTTTGACTGCAACTTCACGGGAGTTGAACTCCCGTGAAGTTGCAGTCAAATTCCCGAAGAACCGAGATCGGTTCGCTGGAAATTTTCGACTGTAACTCCACGGGAGTTGAACTCCCGTGGAGTTTTAAGCAAAATTAAGCTTCACGGGAGTTCAACTCCCGTGAAGTTTAATTTCTCGATAAACTTCACGGGAGTTGAACTCCCGTGATGTTTCGGAGACTTTTTTACAAAAACCGACCTGTTTTCAGCGCTGGGCTGAAAACAGGTCGGTTTTTGTAATTATTTTCAAAATAGGTCGTTTTTTGCAAATAAAATACTAAAAGGGTTGGTTTTGAAAATTTGTCCAAAGAGATCTTTGTTTATTTCCCTATAATGATGTATTTGGCCTTAATTACACAACCACTTCTGTTTGAGTGTTTGTCCCTCTACATAGCAATCGTCTCCTTGTATTTTTGAGTTATAAACGATATCAATATGTGATCAAGGCGAGAATGTAGATTAAAGCTCACATACAATGCTTTCTCTCAAGAACAATACATTGAGGCACTAAGAAAGTTGTTAGTACCTGAATATTATCACAACAGGAAATTTAAGAGATCAAGAAATAAAGAAAATTTTGAAAAGATAACAATTTCAAAGTTTAAAAAAAAAGTTCAGATTACTATTTAATGAAACATACTCCTTGAACTAAAACAAACCTTGTAACTTCGTATGTAGCTGCTGTATCAGGAGTCAATAGAAGAGGTTTTTCCACACATAATATTCGAAAAATACATAAGACACCAATAGAACACAAACTTGAGCTCATAGGCTCTTATTCATGGGAGTCTCTTTTCTAACTCCAATGTGACACAATTAACCTCACCATTCTCATTCCTCTAGACTAATAGATAGAGCAACTCTTATCCCCTTATCCCAATCATACCCATATATCAGAAGTACAGTCACCGCCAGGATACCGCATCTCATGGGCCAAAGATGGGCCCTCAGGTTCAGATGCGAAATCCACAAAGAAGTTTGGGTTTATCGATAAACCTCCATTCTCTGTGTCAATGTCTATCTGCAACATATGAGAGCCTTTCTCAACTACATCTGGATAGAATTGCTTATCCCATGCACTGAAGAGGGAATTGGTTACGTAGAGTCTCTTGCCGTCTAAGCTCAGCTGGATCATCTGTGGTCCTCCTCTTAGCTTGTTACCCTAAAAAGAGAAAATAATGTTGGATGAATACTGAAATTGTGCTTATAAGTATATATATTTGCCATGGTAAACCTTGTGATAATGTGATTTCTTATTGAATTGAAATAAGATCTTTTTTTCCCAAACCTTGTCATAATGTGATTTTATTATTGATTTGAAGTAAGATTTTTCTCCCAAACCAACCCAATTCATAAAATGGTTCAAATGCTGATGCAAGGTAGATAATGAAGATTTAGGTCTTTACTGCTGTCCTTAAATATTGTGAAAAAAAATCTTGATGAAACAATCTTCTTATCACATGATTTATTGCTTGGCGGTAAAGTTGGTTAAGTCTGTTGTTTGCAACTCATAGTGCTTTCGGAAAATAAAAGTGTAAGTTATAAATAGAGCCCCAGTGGTATCGGAGATTTGAACTTACTACCCTTGTAGTTTAATCGTTGCAGATAGACCCCCTAGGTTAAGGCTCTTTTACCCTCAACAGATTCACTAATTTCACCTAGGGTCAATATCTGCCAAAATCTCATCAAGGGTAAAAGAGTAACAAACAAATAAAAAATAACCCATAGGGTCTATCTACAACAATAAAACTACAGGGTAGCTAGTTAAAAACTACAAAACTATGCACAATATTAACCCCAAAACAAAAGATACTCTCAGAAAATATGGTTCCCATAGTTTCTAACAAACAAGCCTTTGAATGACATTCATGAGGGTTTGATATTCTCTCATAATGGAACTTCTTACCTTGCATGCATGCTTAATTGCAGCAAAGATGACCGTATCAATAGAATCCTAAGAGTTTAATTAACTCTAGTGCAGTATAAATTTTCAAAATCAGTAACAATCTGAAATCTGTCTGAAGAAAACATGATTTCTGAAATCGCATAGGAAACTTCAAATAAACAGCGATATTTTCCAAGTTCTAACTAGAGAAATAATTAGTAGTAACAGCAACAGTAAAAATTAAAGATGATTAACTGAAAAAGGATAATAGCTACCTTGATTTCTGACACGTTAATCTGTGACTCCTTCCCATCTTCATCCACATAAACAACACTGCTTCCCTTCTGAAGAAGTCCTCCCACCCAAACTTGCCCAGTTAACAAGGGCTTGCTCGGCTCCTCAATATTGTACTGTCTGATATCTCCATGAAGCCAATTAACAAAGTACAAGAACCGGTCATCGAGAGAAATGAGGAAATCAGTTATCAACCCCGGCATTTCAGGAAGTATCCAGTTTTTCACCTTCAATGGTGGCACAGATATTGCAACCTAAATTAAGAACATAAAGAGTTAGTTAGCAGTCATATGAATAGCATTTTGGCTCATCTACCCTGAAAATATAAGTTATTAAAAGGAATAATTATTTTCTTAGTTTCAGGGTTATTGTGGGATACACCCACTGTGCTATTGCCCAATTGCGGATAGACCCTCTATTGTTGCAGATAGACTCTTGAGTAAATATTTTCTCTCATGTACTCTTAAGAGGTCCATTTGTCAAAAACATTTTTCTCTATCTCTGAGGGTAGAAGAGTAAAAAAAATTCACTCAGGAGGGTTTATCTGCAATGATATAACTACAGAGGGTCTACGTGGTTGCAATATAAACCCTTACTTTTAACTACTATAAATACATTTCACAGATCCTAACAAGTTTAAATTATAAAATGCGAGCATCAATAACTTAAATTTGCCAATGAAATGCATGTACTCAAGGTCTATCAAAATAAAGCAGCTGCAACTTGGAAGAAAAATTGATCATATGAAAGTATTACATTACAAATATCTTTTCACTGAATAAATTGTGAACAAGTCATGAATGGTTAATGCGTCAATCGCAAAATTCTGCAAACAAGGTAACTCAACTTTGAGCCATCATCTAAAAAAAGAGATGTTAAACGATGACAATTATTATCGAAGTAGAGTCTCGATCAACAAATAGAAGAATTCAGGAGCAACACTGATAGTGTTGTTATAGCTGCTTTTGCACATGGTAGAATCTTGTAATAATTTTTAGACTAGCATTCTAGATCAGTTGTGGATAAAAGCTACAGCTTACATTCTGAAGAAAAAAGAAGCATGGAATTTTGCATAATTCACACCATCGCTGTTGAAATTCCAAAGAACTAATGGAGGAGGACTAAACAAGCATATCCAGTTGCTTTTTCCTTCATAATAGTTTTCCTTATTAGACAGAATTAATTAGACCACTGTCTTCAATGTTTGCCTTGTTTTGTTTTTTATTTTAAAGTTGGAACAGTGATCATGTATTTTCGAGTCACAGCTGAAGCTGCCATTTAGCTTTTAGAACAAATACAGATTTTGACGTCAATGATACAGTAAAAAGATGCAAGCAGCCATTTTATCATAATTTTTTTTTTCTTTTCATTTGTTTAAATCTTCAAATGTATACCTATGAAATATATCCATTTGTACATATCCAAATGCAATACATGTAAAATTATCAAAATAACCAAATGACTCCTAAATGATCATGAACCAAAATACTGACACCAGTTAAAAGTATTGTTCGTCTTGTGTTTAGTTAGAGTGAGTTGTATTTACTTAGAGTGCTTTTCTATATTTAGTACCGTATTCGGAGTACTTTGTAATCCTGAACTAATTTTCTACCTATCTAATAAAGCTGACTGACCCTATCTGGGATTAAGTCACTTTCCCCACCATGACACAAATATCGAGAGGTACCACAAAACAAAGGTGAAAAGTTAACAAACATATACCTCATGGCTCCAAGATCCATCATCAGTCTTGAAAAATCTCACCATGTTAGTGGACAGGGCACAACCGACAAAGCCTATAGCTTTTGAAGGGTCATGGAGAAACCTAATCTGCAAACAAACAGCACAATAACTTTAGAATATGCTCCAATAATCGAATTAATTAACTACAGAGTCTCAGGTACTCTGATACTGACTTCTAAAGGTAAAAGCCCAGTCTCTCCTAGGTCCAATGTCTGCTTTAGTTCACCATCAGGCCAGCTGTACACACTTAAGTGCTTTCCATATAGCCCATCTTTAACATGCTCAGGGTTAAACCCTTTTGTGAAGGCAGCAGGAGCTCCCCATGATGAGCTAATCATAGTCTTATGTCGGGGTTGGTACCAGAAGTCATATCCAAAAGGTGGGCTGTGTCCTGGTTTTTCCCACCTAGGGAGCATGATAAATTGCAGTTAGAAGACATTATGAAATGTAGAAGAGATCAAAAGGTTTGTGACTGCGACAATAACATAATTTCCTAATTTAAAAGAAAACTGAATCCAGTTGTAATGAGAGATGCAAATAGAAGATATGATTTTATTCATGAATGTTCAGAATAAGTTAGTTTCCTCACTTGAAAGATCCTTACATGAAAGAAAGAATATGATACCAACTGAAACAGGTAATAAATGTTCTGTAGACTGAAACATTATGAGACTTACAGACGAAAACATCTCATGCAGTAGAAAAAGGTGGACAAAGAGAAGAAACAAAAATATTGTTACGCTGTGCAACAAAAACAAGTAGCATCGAGGAAGCCAAAATTTCTGGACTAAATCTATTTACTTTTTTGAATAATTATAGATTTCATAATCAACGGTAAACAAAGTAACATAAAGAAAAAGCTGCTTTGATAAGGCACAAAGACATAATCAGCAATGGTATGCCTTGCTGCATTCATCCCTAGAATGGTAAAAGGCAAGTACCTTCCTTTCACTTTGAAATCTGAATCAAGAAGAAGGAATCCATTTCCCTTTGCATTCCCATCTTTATCTCCGAGGCAAGACACCAGAAGGTCACCAGAGGCAAGACAATGAGAAGTGTGAGGAAATGCCAATCCTGTCTTCTCCAAAATATCTGCAGGCTCAACAACCTTATGTAAAACTGGAGCTCTAGGATTTGATGCAGTATCAACGACATATATACGGCCTGATCTGAAGAAGTATAGTCATTGAAGAAATTTATTAATAAAATTAAAACTTTCAGTATGACAAAATGAGCGAACCTGGTCCAGAAAATGTTATATTCAGCTACTTAAATGTAATATTGGTCCACAATACTAAAACCCCCGCATGCCCAAACGAAAAATAATTTACAAATAATATAACTAAATAATACTTTGAAGTAAATAAACAAACAATGATGAATCTAGTTTTCCTTTCAACAGTAGTAAAACATATTGTGAAACTGCTTTCCAAATATCATATCATTATTGTGACTTCAAGAGTACATCACAGACACATTCCAAAAGTTGGAGAGTCAGCCTCAATAAGTAAAAATTTATAATTAAAAAAAAGTTAATTTTATATAGATGAAGAGAAAATTAAACAGTTCAGAGTATGAAAGAACTTACAACAATGAAGGCAGGATTAGGTAACGCCTAGCCGCTGATGGGTCTCCATGGCAAGAACTGCAGGAATTCCAACCAGAATGATGCAATTCGTCGCCTATATGAGGCACAGGCAACCGGTGAATAACTTTGGAATAGTATGGTGAGCTTGGATCAGTATCAACTGTCGCCAAGTAATCAGGCTTTTCTCTCCCAGTTCCTGTACATTAAAAAGATGTTGTTACATAATTCAAATCATTAACAGTAAAAGTAGAATCAGCTAACAAAGTTCAAGTAAGGGCATTAAAATAACTATCATCTTGCTATTTCTGTGATCTATTCACATGTTTCACATATGAACCCATTAATAACCTTATCAATTAAGAATTAAACAAAGAATGTTCCAGTGGTGAGTGCCATAGAAGGACGACATTTCTTAAGCATACTATTTATATGAAAATTAACTACAGATTTCGTATTAGGGTATAATATTTCAGTTGCCATTAATCACAGAATACGCTAATACAGTATGGGAGAGTGAGACACAAACCATATCTTGCTGAAGACTAACAAGTCAAACATCACCTGTGTGCTAAAGAGGATAAACTTTTTATGTTACGGTAGTGGGTTTTAAGACTTTCATGTAGAAACTTGAATACCTATACTTAAGGTAAAACAGGTAAAACAGCTTCACCCCATACCTAAGTAGTACTGGTCATAACATAACAAGTATAGTCCTTATGAAGTTGTATCAGGTCTGATGCATGTATCATCTGTATTTCTCAGAACTGTTCATGCATTTGTATGCTGTCTGCATTGATATTTTTATTTTTTATTTTTTTAGTCAACGTGACATAATTGTCAGATGTTTGTAGTTAGTTTAACATCACTTATTTACCCTACTTAAGGTAAGGTTAGCAATTTATAATCATAATAGAAAAGGTGGACAAAGGTCATACAGGGAGGTTAATGACCTTGTGCCTACCAAGTCACTAGTCTGCTTGCATCAGTAACAAATGTCATTAATCTCTGTTATTTGCACTCCTTATTTGAAACTGATTTTTATCAATTCTAATGCAAGAAAAGGAATAGGTAGATAGCTAGTTCGTATGTTACCGGGTACTTCTATCATGAAGCCATACTCGTACCCAACCCGTGCCTGTGCCTGTGCCCGTGCTCGTGCTGGTACCCACAACCGTTTCCATGCAACTTATAGTTCAAAGGAATTGCTAGTTATTTCTCCCATCTATGTTGTATACATCTCAGTGCAAGAAACATACTGTGAATCAATGAGCCAAAAGTTTTGGTTGTCATACATGCAATTATTTTCACATTTTTAATAGCAGAGACTTATAACATAGATCGAGGCTTCCATCTGGGAGAAAACCTTTTCCAGGTTTTGCAAGGAAAAATGTTTTACCTATTTAATTACCATACATGGTAAAGGAAAGCGAATAAGAAAAAGTCATACGATTGAATCATTATTGTTTCTAGCATTTGTGTAAGTAGAAGGCTAGCTAGCAAGACAACAAGATATGCTTTTATAAATTAAGGGGAAAAAATTCAAGCTGATTTGTTAAAAAGAATAACCAAATCTTGTACATCCACATGAAATTTATTTAGTTTAGAAGAAACTGTCAGTATCTAAGACTAAACTAGGAACAGAAAAACAACACAACTAAAAATACAAAGAACAGTCTGAACCAAAGAACCCAATTCATGTTATTATCATACTAAATCTAAAGGGAGGGCTCTTTCAACTCTATTTTACTATTCCAAAATAAGAAGGGCCCTACTGAAATAACTTCAATCTTCTACAAAGTACAAATCAAGTATATTATTGTCAAAAGGACTAACCCAAAATTCTGAAAATTGGTAGAATAAACAAATATTTCAAGAATGAGCTAAAACCCACATAAAATTTTTATTAAACAACTCAAACCAGAGGTTTATCACAATTCATTAATAAATTAAAAAAAACCCAAATAGGCATTTGTTTACCAGTGCCCTAGCATTTAATATTTAACCAACTTCTATCTTAAAAGTGGTGAATGTCAAGAAAAGCTCATGTATAAAACGTCGGGGCAGCATGACTAAAAAGGTAATTAATTGACACTTACTTATTACATCACCGAATTATCCCAAGGAATAAGGGGGAAATTTTGGTCTCTTCCCATTCCTTGTACTAGTTGTGAACACCGTGCAAAGCACGGCATATCATTTTTTTCCCACTTCAGTAATCCAAATTTTAAATGCTACAGTTTTTTTGGGGGGTGCCATAGGATTTTTTAAAAATGCTACAGTATTCTCGTGTGCTCCAGTGTTTTCCAAAATCTATAGTATCCAGTTTCCTGTTGCTACAGTAATAATACTACATTAAATGCTACTGTATCATTTACTGTAGCATTAATAGTAAATTTGGGTTCTCCCATTTCTATAAAGGAGTAGAAAGGTGTAGATACTTCTATAGAAATCAGCATAAATAAGATAAAATGACAAATAGAGCTAAATTAATGTAAATGAAAATTAAAAACTAAATAAAGAATGTTAAAATGTATTTTCTTGACTCCAATAAGATATGTACTAAATATTTAATGTTCCTTTAATTTTTTATATACAGTGAGCAGTTACTTAATTTATTTTGTTTTATTTTATTTCTTGTTTTGTATTCTCATTCAATGCAAAAAATGGACAATGTAATTTATTTTGGAAAAGATGGATTTGAACATAATATTTTAATTTAAAAGTTTAAGATTGAAGCAGATTGCCTTTGGCAAATTGGATTTGGTTCTGTTCTTCAGGATGCTATTCAGCTTCTTTTAATTGCTCAATATTACCAAATTATATTTTAATCTAAATAATTTATTGACCATTTAGGTAGATATCTTAGAAATTATCTTTGGTCCAAATGGATTACATGTTATATTTGGTATTTGAGAGGTCATCAAGAGCATTAATTAGGAGAAGTAACACAAAAAGCAAAATAATTAATTACATTAATTTCCACATAATGAATGATTCTTAACGAATGCCCCTGCAGAGGCATTGGTTAAAAGGACCATAGTTTTATATTCTACCATGCCACTGCAAATAGTTTTATATTCTACCATAGTCACTGCAAAGTTGAGAACCCTTTTATGGGCCAAAACCTAAGCTCACATAGTTGTATCAAATTCTTTTTTAATCAATTTAAATTGTAGTCTGCAGGATTGGAACCTAACCTATGTTGCTCTGATACCATCTTAAAGTCTCTTTCGCTGAACCAAAACTCTGAAATACGGTGACGATTGAGAGTTATAGTTTTATATTTTATTAACAAGGACCAATTCATGCTATTATCTTACTAAATCTAAAATGAGAAGCCTTCAATTTTATATTGCTAGTTCCAAAAAAAAGGTCCAACCTCAATCATCCCGATCTGAACAAAGTACAAATCAATTGTATTATTATTAAAAGGGCTAACCCAAAAACCCACAAAATAATTCCAAAATAAACAAATACCGCTAGAACCAGTTCAAACCCACGTCAAATTTTCTGTAAACAACTCACACTAATAAAGGTTATTCACAGCCCATCATCAATTAAAAAAAATCCAACCGTATAAATTAAACATAAAAGACTAGCACCAGACCAAAAGGACCAATTCATGCTATTATCTTACTAAAATACATAGCGGCCCTTTCAATTTTATATTGACACTTTTATACAAAGGACCAAATCTAAAGTATCTCAATCCTCTGCAAAGTAGAAAATCAAGTATATTACAATTGAAGAGGGGTTATTTGCACTTCAACACCCCAAAAGTTCCATCTTTTTTTTAGCTCTAGTACCCTAGGAGTTCTATTTCTACAATTTGATACCCCGAAAGTGCAAAAAAGTTGATAAAAATACCAACAGGAAAAGTAACCGGTGAAAAAAGAAGATCTTAGCAAAATTTAGGCTTTTCAATTTGGAAAAGGTGAGGAACAAAGTTAAAAGAGGGAAGATAACCCAAAATCGTATACAATGTTACCAGAGTTAGTCCATACCCACATCAAATTTTCACCGAACAACCATATACCATGGATTATTTCACAACTACAACTAAAACCCACATCAAAATTTCAAGCTGCAGCACTGCAAAGCGAAGACGGTTGAGCTCTTTTCTCGTTACAAAAATAAAAAAAAAGAAGAAGGGAAATTACCATTGTAAACACAGGTGACATAGATCAAAGCCTCCCTCGGCCCCTTCATGGCCTCAAGAGGAGAAGCATAGCCAGGTCCTTCGCCATGAGCGCAGCACTCACCCATTGTTCTCTAGAGAGAGAAGGATATTATTAGAGAGAGAAAGAGAGAGAGAGAGAGAGAGATTATTATTAGAGAGAGAGAGAGAGAGATCAGAGAGAACAGTGTTTAAATAGCCGCATGTGGACTTCTCTGACACTAGAGAGTCACAAGGAGACGGAGGTTCACGGACGCAAACGTCGAGTACGATACGTGGATGTATTGTATTAGTTGATTTTTAATGAGCCGTGTTCTGCAAATTGCAGGGGATCCTTTTTGGCATCAGCGACGTGCACGTGGACGGGTAATTTGTTGAAGGAGGAGTCCGCATCCGGACAAGATCCTTGTCGACGTCGTCGTGAAGGGAGAAGAGACTTTGTATGGAAATAACCTCGTAACTTATAAATGCGCACTCGAGCAGAGCAAGGGTAAAGTCGCGGATGTAGAGTAAGAAGTCCATTAGAGCATTAGCCATCATGGAGGTGTAGGAGAACAAATCTCATCAAGACAACGTGACCCCTCTTTCTTGACTTGCGAGCCCGTTGGACGATGTAAGTCCTAGGACCCATGGAGTGCAACACGTGGTTTGGCTTAATCCACTGCTAAAATTGGCTAGCAATATTACGAGACTCTGAAGATCCGTCATTTAAATCATTTTAAACTATATCAATTTCCCGACATGGGACTATTGTGGGGCATCACAATCACCCCCACATTGAATACGCGATGTCCTCGTCGCAACATGACCCCTCTTTCTTATCTTGTGTTTTGATCAGTTTGAGCTCCTTTACTTTTCCTTAGCACAGTGCCAAAGAGTTGGTCAAGTAAGCAAAATGTCGAAGGCTCCGTTTGAAAGAAAAAGAAAGGCTTGGTTCAATAGAGTAAGCACACTTCTCATTAAGGAAGGATATCATCAATTCTTTATGCGAGCGAGCTAGTTGCAACCCTATGAGAAAGGAAGCTTGTTCAATCCACTGAAAAATTGCAAAAATTACAATAACACGTTGAAAAATGAAAAAACCCACAAATAGATCCCTAAAAATATGAAAATATAAACAATACCCTTAATGATCTAAAACTTATGAGCAACCCCCTGAAAATTTATAAATTGCGACAAGCCTTCTAAAAATTTAAAATTGCAAGTAGACCCAAAAAATCATTAATTACAAATAACCACCTAAAAATTAAAATAGTACAAATACCTCCCTCAAATAAAAAATTACAAACTCCTTTTAAATTCAAATATTATAAACCACCCCCTAAAAAATAAAAAATTACATATAAACATTATAAACAGTCGTTATTAGGGGTTCTTTTACCAAAAATCTATTGGGGATTAAGTGACTAATAGAAAAACATATTGATTGGTTTTTGCCAAAATTTATTGGGGTATTCCGATCATGACCACACATGAGCTAATGCTATAAATTTTGGAGTTTTTTGCTAAAATATTTTGGGGTTTAGTGAGAGTTTCATAGGTATTGATGCTTTAGTGCTAAACTCTCAAATTTACTGTGGCTCAGTGAAATTTACCTATATTTTAAATTTTATAGTGTGGGTAGATTAATTTTGTCACATGGAAAAAATGGTTTAAATTTGCCCTTTCTCTATAAAAAGAAATCTGTGGTTTGATATTAGCCTTACTTCTCAAAAAAATGCACTTGTCCTTCCCTACTTTTGAATTTAAAATTTTGAAAGAAAAACTATCCAAGCAAGACCAAAGAAACAAGACCTGCCCGTGCGAGCACGAGCGTAATGCTTGTGTATAATATTATGTCATCATATAACCTAAGTGTTAATTCTTCCCCTAAAGTCGACATGTGTCTTATGTTAACACTAATCATCAGGATAGCTCACCCCAGCAAAGACGACTCAGATAACATGGTCACTCATCCCTTCCCAAGTAGGGTCGAGTCGAGACAAGCTCTAACTCGACCTCACCATTGGAGTCAACCCCGCTCATTCACTCAAGGCCGAGTCAACAACTTGCGAAGCCGTTGTGACCCATGCAGGCCGCGGTCCCGAGTTTCCACTAGTGAGAATATAACGGACAACTTAGACGCATATCATATTTCATCTGTCATACTATGGTGCCCTTATCCTCTCATCTTGATGAATTATATCTTAGTCACTACTTTATCACTTTTGACTCCGGAACTTCCCACTGTTTCTTGTCTCGTAACTTCCCACCGTTTCTTATTTCTTGTCTCCTTTGCTTATGGATATTGTTCCATATTTGTCCTTGGGATTTTCCTAACTTGGGATTGATTTGGGTTGGTGGGAGGACGCGTACGACCCCCAGCCTGAAGAGCCATTTGGATTTTGTTCACCGGACCTAAGCGTTCCTTGACCAGAGTTTTGCCTCGATCTTCGTGCAAAGGACCAAGGTGATTCGCCATTGTGATTTTAACCTTTGACAGGTCAGGGTTGATCCAAGGCTTCACTGATGGTGTAGCAGATATATTTAGAGTAGACAGACGAGGAGCGGATGCCGAAGGATTAGCTTCGGGGGCTGTTCTTTTGGGCAAGACACTTGATAGTGTCTCGGATGAAGTCTCTTTGGGCGAGACAGTCTCCACTGTCTTGGCCAAATGGCTAAGTCTTGACGACCTCCGAATGCTGACGTTGCACAACTCCGGACTTTGTAATCCAAACTTTGCGGAGTTTTGGTGGTTCTTTGGCCACTGTTTCCTTCTTCCTTTCATGAATTTTTCGCACCAGGGCACGGGCACGAGCGACGTTTGCACGACGCTTCTGGATGCGTTCCTTAAAGGTCGAACGGGCTCTTTTGACGAGAACCCATTCCTTCGCCGATAACATAGCAGAGATGTGAGTGGTTTGTCGTTGAGACAACTGGACCACTCGATGTTTCCTTGACTCCAGATCCGCGGAGTAGCGAACTCCATCAATTTGTTCCAAAGCCTTAGCAAGCTGACGAGCCAGGCGTTGACGTTGCCTCTGACGAGCCCTCTTCGTCAGAGTTAGCGATCTTTCATTGGATGACTCTATAACTGGGGAGGAGCCATTATGAGCAGAGCTTTCAGCCTTATTGGATGCCGGGATAACGTTGCGAGGGGTAGCCTCAACAACTTTTGGGCGAGAGTCGTCACCCTGAGTCTTCATCGGTGTGTAAACCTTCTTCGAGGATGAGATCTCCCTGCACTTGCGGTGCGAGGAGGACCTTAATGAGGATGAGGAGAGGTACTTCTCAAACTTGGCTTGGTCGAACTCGTACTCGATCATGGATTCAATCGGTATCTTGATCGGCTGCGACACGACAGTCTCGGTAGCGAGACCGTTGGCTCCCACTGTGGTCGCCAGCGTGTTTGCGTCAAAAATAAATTTCGTTGTAGAATTCATTATAACTGTATCGATTATAATGAACACAAAAGAGTGAGCTTCGTGCTTTGTAAAACTACTCTTTACAACAAAAACCAAATTACATGTTCCTTAGAAACACACAGAGGATCGTTGTTTAGATCGATGCTTATGCGGGATCTTTGCCTGTGCCGGGGGTGTGTTATCCCGTGGACCACCAATTCACAGATTCTGATTGAACCGTGAATGCTATTTGGGGATTCTTGCTTCTTTTAGAAGTAAGAAAAAGGTAAGTGGATATCTTATCGATGTAATATGAACACTCTTCTCAAGATCAAGTCGAAGCTTAGATCTTAAGAAATCTCAAAGTTGCTGTTTGTACTCGAATTTGATAAAGACTCTCTCTCTTGAGAAGAATGCTCCAAAATGCTTAAGTTCTCTGCTCAATCTGCTCTCTCTGTCTGGATCCCCGTCAGTAATGGTCCTAGGGGGGTATTTATAGCTCACAGGAACTGTAACTGAAGATGAAAGTTGGAAAGAAGTCTTATCGGGGAACTTCTATTTCCGAGACAGTTGTAATTGTCTCGGAAACATGATTAGCTTCCCATTTCTGAGACAGTTACAACTGTCTCGGAAACATCGTTTGCTTCTGGCCTATTTGTAACCGCTTTCCCATGTTTAATTGTCATTATTCCTGTGGTTATGGGCATGATTCTCGCTTATAACTGTTCATAGGTGATATCCAGTAGTTAATAAGCCATATGGACCGCATGAAGCTTAAGAAAACTGTCAGAAAACACATTGTCAGCTTCTCAGTGTACGAGACAGTTTCAACTATCTCGCACTTCTGAGACAGTTACAACTGTCTCACACTTTTGAGACAGTTACAACTGCCTCGCACTTTCAAGATAGTTTGTACTATCTCGGGTATTTTGCCTATAACTCTCTCGTTCGATCTTTGAATAAGATGATCCAAGATGCGTTAGAAATATGGTGAAGAGATCTACAACTTTTATCTTTTGAACTTTTTTTGATTCTATGTGAATCATGGTAGAAATTTCAGTTCTTGTCTTATAGTTTCCAAGACAATTCCATGTGTCTTGGAAACTATGTGTTGTATTTTGTCTCTAACTCCCTCATCCGATTTCAGAATGAAGTAATCTAAGATGTATTGGAAAGCTTGCAAAGAGCTCTACAACCTCTTATAGGCAAGACACTCATGGAGTGGGTGAGACACACATAGTATTTCACCCTTTTTAGGCGAAGCATAACTCTTGGCTGAGTTGTTCCTTCATCGTTTAGCGTGTTTTATAGACTCTTACGTTTTGCCGACTTACTTCATGTGCTTTTTAGCTTCCCTATGATATCAGATGATCTCCTTTGACTCAGATAATTCTCCTTAACTCGGATGATGATATTCATCGTCTTTTCTCTATCTTAAGTTGTGTGCAGGAACCTATAGGCAATTTTTTATGCCTATAGATACCCCCTCCAAAGTATTTTAACATCATTCTTTTATAAAGGATGCTGGAATACTTTGGATATGATACACCTAGCTATTAATTCGTTGACTTCTTCAGCTTTTAGTCTATTTAGCATTTTTTTGAATAACTAAAATTCTTCCGGTGCTGCGTTTATTGTCTGACCGTTGTCGATATCTTGAACTGAAGCTGATTTGTTAATTTTTGAATTAGCTCGTGTCGTTGGGTTGACATTGAACTAATCATCTTCATCGAGAGTTTGTATCTGAGTCATGATTGAACTCCCTGAATTAATTTC